ACATAATTGGTCGCATTGGGAGCTGATCGTAAAGCGGGGGTCCACTGTATAGTAGTACCAACACTCTTATATGGGTGTGAAGCTTGAGTTGTAAGTGCTGCAGCGAGGAGGCGGTTGGAGGCAGTGGAGATGTCCAGTCTAAGGGCAATGTGTGGTGTAAATATTATGCAGAAAATTTCAGAGTGTGGAAAATAGGAGATGTGGAGTTAATAAAAGTATTAGTCAGAGGGCTGAAGAGGGTTTGTTGAGGTGGTCTGGAGTTTACCTGGAGAGAGTTCCGGGGGTCAATGTCCCCGCGGCCCAGTCTGTGACCAGGTCTCCTGGTGGATCAGAGCCTGATCAACCAGGCTGTTACTGCTGGCTGCACACAATCCAACGTACGAGCCACAGCCCGGCAGGTCAGGTACCGACTTTAGGTGCTTGTCCAGTGCCAGCTTGAAGACTGCCAGGGGTCTATTGGTAATCCCCCTTATGTATGCTGGGAGGCAGTTGAACAGTCTTGGGCCCCTGACACTTGTTGTATTGTCTCTTAACGTGCTAGTGACACCCCTGCTTTTCATTGGGGGATGTTGCATCGTCTGCCAAGTCTTTTGCTTTCGTTGCGAATGATTTTCGTGTGCAAGTTCGGTACTAGCCCCTCTAGGATTTTCCAGGTGTCATTTAGAGAGAACGGATCAAAGTAGAATGACATGGAGAGCGTATAAATCCGTAGGGGAAGGAAGGCGGGGTAGGGGTCGTCCTCGAAAAGGTTGGAGGGAGGGGGTAAAGGAGGTGTTGTGGGCGAGGGGTTTGGACTTCCAGCAAGCATGCGTGAGCTGTTGGAGTGTGAACAGGGTAATATTTAGTGAAGGGATTCAGGGAAACCGGTTTTTATATAACCGGACTTGAGTACTGGAAATGTGAAGTACAATGCCTGCACTCTAAAGGAGGGATTTAGGATACTGGTAGTTTGGAGAGATATATTGTGTATTTTTATACATACAGTGGACCCCCGAGTTTCATGATTAATCCGTTCCAGAGAGCCTGCCGAAAGTCGAAATTCAGGAAACTCAAAACCATTTTCCCCATAAGAAATAATGGAAATAAAATTAATCCGTTCCAGACACCCACAAATATTAAAATAAAATATTTTTTTTTCAAATTAAATAAAGATTTATGTACTGAAATCAATGAGAAATCAAGTACATACATATAAAAAATAATAACAACATTACACTTACCTTTACTGAAGACTTCTGGGTGGATGGAAGACGGGAGGAGGGGATAGGAGGAAGGTGTACACTATTGTTTGGAAGGAGAATCTCCTTCTATTAGGACTTTAGGGAGCAAGTCCTTATCTGGGGTTACTTCCCTTCTTCTTTTAATGCCACTGGGAACAACTTGAGAGTCAATGGACCCCTGTCGCACAAAATATCTGTCCAGAGAGGTCTTTTTCTGGCGTTTCTTTAAGATTTCCCTGAAGTGGGACACAACACTGTCATTGTACATGTTGCAGATATGGATTGTTTCAGCTTGATCAGGGTGATACTTTTCAACAAAACTTTGCAACTCATTCTACATTCCACACATGTCCTTAATCACTGAAGAAGGAACCTCCTTCACTCTCTTTTCCTCCTCCTCTGAAGCAAGTTCCTCGGCTGTGGTCTGATGCTGTTCCAGTTGAAGCTCTCGCAGTTTGTCAGTGATTAGCTCTTCCCTGTGGTCCTCCACCAACTCTTCCACATCCCCGTCACTCGCCTCCAACCCCATGGACTTGCTCAATGCCACAACACCTTCCACAACAGGCAGAGGGTCGGCAGGGACAGGGTCTGCCTCAAACCCTTCAAAATCCCTCTGGATCGTGTTCCTCACCTTATTTACCAAAGGGCTTGCACTAGCTTTCCTTGGGTCCATGATGACTTATTTAGCAGTTGCAAGCACAAAAAAAAAATGGATTATGAAATGTATTGTATGAACCCGCGGGGTGATGGTCACGTGTTGGTAAACAATGGCACATTGAGCGTGAATGGCGTGGGAGACTGGCTTGGTGTGCGCGGTGACAGGCGGACAGGTACCAGACGGTCGCCGAAACGCGAGTCTAATCACGAAACTTGAGGTCAAATTTTGCCAAAAAAAACTTGCCGAAGGTCGAATTTCATGAAACTCGATGCTGCTGAAACTCGAGGGTCCACTGTATATACTTAAGAACATAAGAACGAAGGAACACTGCAGCAGGCCTACTGGCCCATGCGAGGCAGGTCCAAGTCTCCTACCGGCTTAAGCCAATGCACCCAACCTAGTCAGGTCAGGTCACCTTGACTTAAGGGAGGAACACGGCAACCGTCCTGGTAGCACAAGCTAATCAGGTCCAACTCACACCCACCCACACCCACTCATGTATTTATCCAACCTATTTTTAAAGCTACACAACGTTCTGGCCTCTATAACTGTACTTGGGAGTTTGTTCCACTCATCTACAACTCTATTACCAAACCAGTACTTTCCTATATCCTTCCTGAATCTGAATTTTTCTAACTTAAAACCATTGCTGCGAGTCCTGTCTAGGCTAGATATTTTCAGCACACTATTTACATTCCCTTTATTTATTCCTGTTTTCCATTTATACACTTCTAAACTGTTGTATCCTGGGCACCTCTGCAAAAACAGTGATTATGCGCGAGTGAGGTGAAAGTGTTGAATGATGATGAAAGTATTTTGTTTTGGGGGATTTTCTTTCTTTTTGGGTCACCCTGCCTCGGTGGGAGACGGCCGACTTGTCGAGAAAAAAAAAAAAATCTTGGGGCCATAATGAAATGTTATTTTGTACACATAAAAAAGAGGTAAACGTAAGTTTGTGTGACTGGCTGACTTACTGAATGACTGACTGACTTACTCAATGACTGACTGACTTACTGAGTGACTTGACTGACTTACTGAATGATTTGACTGACTTACTGAATGACCTGACTGACTTACTGAATGACCTGACTGACTTACTGAACAACTTGACTGACTGAATGACTTGATTGACTTACTGAATGACTTGACTGACCTACTGAATGACTTGACTGACTCACTGTCAGGTCGTGGTGTAGGGCCATGGGATGTACTCCCAGATTTACTCCTTTGCCTTGGAAGGGCATAAGGCACACTACCAGAACGCATGCTGCATTGAACATACTGTCGTTTCACTGGCGAATATTCCTCCTCACTGTCGCTACTCGAGCTGCTGTCAATAACTTTGAAATCACTATCATTATCACTTTCACTGCTCAGATCTGAGTCCTGTAAACGGGGAAATAGTTTCCTTTTTCGTCCTGGTACAGGTGTATGTGAATGAGATGTGCCAGCACCAGAGGTGGACGGTTGTGGGTCATCGGGGTTTTCATCACTAATTACGTAATCCTGGGCACTGCTTTCGGTCACACCCTCTCCAAAGCCATGAAATTCACTTTCACTTCCATCACTGTTAGAACTATCACTTGGGAACAGTAGACCTCCAATATGCCAAGGAGTGAGGTACTTCTTACTGTGAGGCATGGTGAAAATGGACTGCCAAGATGGCATTCCCACAATGCACCACTGAGTCCCAGATTTTTTTCACAGGGTGCACACCCACCACTGAGACCCATTCTCTCTCATGTAGGCCTACCAGCCTTCTCCTGCTTGATTTGAAGCCGCTAGAATTTATGCATATAAATACGTCCAAAACAGTGGCGCATAAGACGTATATATACGACCGAAATAGTCAAAGGGCTAAATCAGTAGGATCACCTCCTTTGTGGATTGGAATAACCCTTGCTGTCCTGAGTAGAGATGGGAAGGCTGGAGATTCAATGGACTTGTTAAAAAGTGTTGCAATAATGGGTGACAACAAATGAGAAGCTTTTTTATACATAAGTGGTGGTAAGCTATTTGTCTCTCCTGCCTTGTTCTTTAGTGTTCTCATGATGAGTGAGATTTCAGTAGGGTTCATTGGGGCTAGGAATAGAGTACGTATTTGGGTAGTTACCAGTTAGGTAGTTTTTTGGTTGTGTGTTTGAATAAATGCCTAATAACATGTTTACACTATCATATATTAAGTGAGCAACAGAACTTGGCTTAAAAACAATAAAAAAAGTAAAACGCATTTACAGTACACTCATTACTTTAAAATATTTTTGTTTTTGGCTTGTAGTGAGTAGTATTAGGCCCTAGCAAGAGTGTTAACCTGTCTTTTGCAGCTTCAAAGCTAGACACTGACTTATCTTCTTTAGCAACAAATGTCCTAGAGGGCATCTTCTTCCAAAATAATGTGGTTTCATCCAGATTAAAAATCTGTTACTTCGTAAATCCTCCACATCTGATTATCTCTGCTTCGCCTACACTCTGACGTTGGCTTCTTTCCCTAGACCTCTGAAACAAGCCTCTGCTAGCTTCAAATTTATCTTCAGCGTACATTAAGTGTGCAATAAAGTTCGACCTAAAAACAAAAAATTATATTAAATAACAGGAATGTAAAAAATTTCCAGAATACAGAGACGCAGAGTGCAGAAATTCTTTAAAGAGACTGAAATACTTACAATACACCCTGGCTCATGGCAGATATTATGTAGGCTTACTGCATTGTGAAGATAATTTGTTTATATTAAAAATAGTAAGGTGTATTGTGGGAAAAATGCTCCATAAATGTATATACAGTATAATGTAAGTGTTTTGGGTACACACATAACAGAAGTAGTCAGAAGGACACACACTGAACAGGCACTTGGACATGTATTGGACGACCAACTGGGAGTGATGAGTGACACTAAATTATCTTCATTTTAATGCAGTACAGAAACACACCCTAGCTCATAGCAACATAACCTGGCTCATAGCAACACACCCTTTTGAGAGAGATTGATGCCATTTATGAGTAAAAGCATAAGAAAGAAGCATTTTTCTACAGTTACCCACAGTAATATACACAGTTTCTCTGGTGGTAAGTGGACTAGAGAGAATGTCTTATTCTAATTATTAAAAGTGAACATATCTCTCACCCTGTCCTGGCATTGTCGAAGCTGGTTCACAAGAGCAGTGCATCTTTCAGGGTCTTTTCTGCCATCAAAGCTATCCAGTTCTGCTGCAACCATGTTCAACTCATCATCAGCATAGTAAAACTGTGCCATCAATGAGGGATCATCTTTCTGTGAAGCACATTAAAAACATTAGTTAAAAGTACTGTACTTTACATGAAAAATAAATGGGAGCTGGAGGGATTGTTGAGGTGGTTTGGGTGGAAGATGGACAGGGATAGGCTGACATAAAGGGTGTATAAATCTGGGATGAAAGATAGGTGGTGGTGTCGTCCTAGGAATGGGAAAAACAAGGGGGGATACAAGAGGCTTTGAGTTTTAGGGGTTTGAGCATCCCGAGGGCAAGTGTTAGCATGTTACATGGAAGTGCACGGAGACAGGCGGTTTTAATAGGCGTGCTGTTGGAGTGTGAGCAGGGTAGCTTTTATGAAGGGATTAAGGGAAAACTGATTGTCCAAAGTTGCATCCTGGAGGCAGTAAGGGCAGTGTTTGCATTCTTGAAGTGTGATGTTAGAACACTTCTGGAAAGATAGTAACAGAGTGAATATTTTTCTTCTCTGAGGTCATTCTGCCTTGGCAAGAGATGACTATTGACCTAAAAAAAAAAATTATAAATATACATACATCCAGTAAAACCTCTCACTAACAAACTAATAGGGAGCAGGGAGTATACAATAATGTCAATTGTCTGCAAATCCCAAATAATGAAATATTTCATGATCATCTAGTTGTCTTATAAAGTAGTGTATTTGGTCCACTAATGCAGAAGACAACCAGACCCTAAGAATGCAGGTATAGTAGTCCCCCCATATCCACGGGGGATGCATTCCAAGACCTACCGAATTATCGCTTTTTCACTGATGGGAAGCACTTCATGGCTTCTCTTAGGCTTTGAAGAACTGTCTCCATCACTACTTTTGTGCTTTGTGGCCATTATTAAGCAAAATTAATGCTTATTTTTGGGCCACAGTAAACTGTGGATAACTGAAACAGTGGATATCGAATCTGCGGATACAGGAGGTTCTACTGTATTGTAACCTGTAGTACATACTACAGTACAGTACTGTATTGTAAGTGAATGATAATGGTGACTCAGAATACCTTTTACTCTAAGTCAGAGGAGCTGTAAATTTCTACAGGGATTCCCCTACATACGAACATTCGTGTTGCGAACTTTCCATAATACAAACAATTTGCCCTGAGGTTGAAAATTTGGGTCTAAGGTTTAGTTCACAGTCCGCCGTGTGGTGGTGGCAATGTAGCGCAGGAAGTGCCGAGATGTAAACAATACATGGCAGGTTACTCTAGCACCATCGTTCGTACACGTGCTTGCATTCTCTCCACAAATTCAGGATTATTTGTGATTTTATATCTCAATGTCTAATGTTAAGCACAAAAGCAGTGGTGATACAGGTGGTAGTGCTAAGAAGCACTAGGCCATCACAATGGAAACAAAAGTGGACATAATAAAGAAAGCAGAGCTTCCAGACAAAGTTGATGGCAGAGGGGTTTCATTTACTTGAAGAATCTCTGTCACTGTTTGAATTGCAGGACCCAAATGTAGAACAGTACCCCAAGGTTTCAGCAACTAGTTGTCCACGATGCAATTCACTGCTATTGTCTCATCAATGAAGAGAAGGCCACCACTCAGACATCCCTAGACTGCTTCTTCAAGAAGGTGGACAAAGGCATTGAGTTTCACCAGGAGTCTGAATCAGTGCCATTAACTTCAGATGCTACGACATTCAGGCCAACACCTCACCATCTGTTATTAAATTTATATTGTACGTATTTATATTATTTTAAAAAATCCACAAGTTTTTAAGAAAAACAATGTCATGAAAAACAAATTGGCTGTAATGTGGGGGGCCAACACAAAAGCTTGAGAAACAAGACAATTTTTTATTGAGTGGGTTAATGAGGTCTTTGCTCCCACTGTCAAAAAGTACCTCATTAAAAAGCAACTGCCACAAAGGCCTTTTACTTATGGATAATGCTTTTGCTCACCCTCCAAGCTTGGAAAACAAGTAGCGGGAGGAGTTCAGTTTTAAAACTGTGAAGTTCTTGCCTCCTAATGCCACTTCTCTCATCTAGCCCATAAACCAGCAGGTCATTTCTAAGAAACTCTACACCCAAGCACTTTTGGAAAGGTGCTTTGAAATCACTTAAGAAACAAATTTAACCCTCAGGAAGTTCTGGAAGGACCATTTCAATATCCTCACCTGCTTGAGGCTTATATACAAAGCCTGGGGAAATGTGTCCTCCAGGACCATGCTGTCAGTATGGAAGAAATTGTGGCCTGACTCTGTGGCAGCCAGGGATTTTGAAGGCTTTGAAAGATGAGCCTGAGCTGGTAGAGGATATTGTGTCCCCAGGGCCTAAAGGTGACTGAAGATGATGTGGAGGAGTTGGTGGAGGAGCACAGAAGTGAATTCACCACAGAAGAACTTGCAGACCTTCAGAAGGAGCAGCAACAAACTGCAGCAAAGGAGCTGTCATCAGAGGAAGAGGAGGGAAGGGATGATATGCCCATTTCACTTGTTAAGGAAATGTGTGCTAAATGGCATGAAGTGCAGGAGTTTGCTGAAAAATACCATCCAGACAAAGCAATGGCCATCCGTTTCTCTAACATGTACAATGACAATGTAATGTCTCAATTTAGGTGTTAAAATGGAACCTGAAACAAATCTCACTTGACAGTTTTTTTTGAGGCAAAGAACCAGTGTGCCAGAACAAGGTATTAGTGGTAAAAAGAGACTAAGAAGAGTAACAACACCAGAAGCACAGTTGTCTGATATATTAATAGAAGGTGACTCTCCTTTAAAGCAGTTACATACCCCTCCTCTCCTCTACCTCCTGCTTCCAGTATGCCATTAGCTCTCCTCTGACAGGTAAAAAGCAGTTAAATTTTCATTTACTGTACAGTATTTCATTAAAGTTTCTTTTAGTATTCATTTTTACAGTTTTATGTAATAGTACATTTTTAATAATTATAGCGCCTTTAGGGGTCTGGAACGGATTAATTATATTTACATTATTCTTTATGGGAAAAAACTGCTTCGGCTGTCGTCCATTTTGGTTGTCAATTCGACATCTGGAACGAATTAAATTTGACAACTGAGGTTCCACTGTATATGGAATTGTATAAGAGCTAGACACAGGGTCCCAAAAGCCTCATCAGGTAGACACTGTGCCTGTCTGTAGAGGAACTTTAGTATGGCATTTGCTTTGTTTAGTACACTGTTCCCTATCAATTCTCCTGACATGCTTGGATCAAAGGGGATTCCCAGATATTTCACTTAAGATATTGAAGTGATGAGTTCCCATTACACTGTACATTAAAATTATTTACCCTTTTAAGTTTACTTATTGTGCCAAGGGTAAATAATTTTAATGTCCAGTGTAATGGGGAACCCATCATTTCGGTATCTTCAGTGAAATAACTATAGTTTCAATTTTCTATTAATCATCCAAGTCTGAATATCCAGCAAAAGTGAACTAAATTGGAGTTTTGCATCTTTTATGTTCAAAAGCTGATGAAGACCTTTGCATCATTAGCATTAAAATGATAATCAACCCTAGGGGCTTCCAACAAAGACTAGGTCACTAACATATGGTATATATATTACCAAGACAAGAATAGAAGCCTGAGGAATGCCATATGACAAAGAAGACAGCTCACGTACGGACTCACTGACTGTTAGCTACTTGATATGACTGACCTGAATGATATGACTTCAGAAAAAATAAAGATGTATCCATAAAGCCACAGACAAAAAGATCACATATTAGTAATCCATGAGCAATTGTATCAAATGTAGCAGAGATTCAACAAAATTAGCTGTAATGCCTTTCCTAAACAAGTGTTTAGCTTTACACAAAGTAGTCTCAATTGAAAGAAACTGTACATACTCATACTGAACACAGTAAACCTTACTCTGCTCCAGAAAAAGAAACAATAAAAAATAGCACATTCTATTAGTGTAGAAATGAATATAAGTTTAGAAACAGAAAGACAGTCTGACATTTTCTGACTAAAGAGAAAACTTCTTAAGAAGAGGACGAGCCAAAGCCCTTTTCACTGACTGTGGACCCAACCCAACGTCACAGCTTATTTGATCAGGTCAGCCAGCTGGAGGCCTGGTCTAGGATTGTACAACACTGAGGACTGAATCTCAGCTACTGACTGGGTATGATGTGCATTTTACCATGTACATCTACATCCATATGGATAATCCAGCCCGAACCTCAATTATTAAAAAATTTAAACTATAAATTATCACCAAACTCAGCCGAGGAGAGGTTCTCCATACTAACCTAAAAAAGACTATATTCTATAACTAAAATAACTGTCATATCTGAGAACCATACAGTACATAAAACACTAAGGTGTATTTTTTGGGTCTCCTGAGTAAATAATAAGAGTTTACTTAGGCTTTGTACATAATATGAAACTTGTACAATGGTTTTATATAGAAAATAATCTAGAATTTACCCTAGGATAACCCCCCCCCAAAAAAAAAAAATCAAAGAATGAGATTTATTTCCAATGAGGTTTAGTAACCCAATCTACAACTATTAAATAATTAACCACAATTCTTGATGTATAATCAACTTTTATGACGCCTTTGAGCAGAAGAAACAAAAGTGTAGCTCTACAAATGTTATTATGCAAGAAACATATAAAGAATACGGAAATGGGTCCGTGTAATGACTCAAGGACATCATTGCTGCTGCTTTCTCTGACAAATGTAAACAACCTTATTTTCTGCCATTACCCTACTTACCCGGGGCCTGTAGAACCACTTCCGGAGAGAATTCATAGCTGTAATCCATACATAGGTTTCACAAGTCTTAAAAATATAACAATATGGTAAATATAAGGCAATATAAAAGGAATAGTCAGGTAGGTGAGGCGACTCCTACTGTCTTGTTGATAGCTGCCCCCCCTAACACATACATCTTACTAAACTACAACCTCACCTTCTATATTACCCACTTTAATAACACATAATAATTTATTATTACTGTATTAGTGTTTCCAATAATAGTTTTAGCCTTGTGTGGAAGTTTATGCACAGTTTGTTGAGTAAATAAATTTTACTCAAGTTATATACCTAAATCATGGCGGTGAATGAGAACATTTTTCCTCATTTCTTGAGTCAGAGGAGGAAATAAAGTATAGGTAAGCCCAGGATAACCCCACCCCCCCCCCCAAAAAAAAAGAAAAAAAACCCACAGCGGCTTATTTTTATTATAATATTTTTAGTAACTATTAAAAACAGTCATAATTATTGCGTTAAAAACAAAAAACAAAAAGTCAAATGCATGAAAATAATTTACAATAAAAATAGAATATATTAAATAAATCAAATACTACTTAAAACTGATATACATCAACAACAAAAAAAGGAAAAAAAAATTAATTGAGTTTAACAATTCAGTTAAATTTAACATTAACAGGAATGTTAGCTATGCAGAAAGTGACTTTTCTGCCTTCCTTAAATCTTCATTAATTAGGTACTTTGTGCGTGTCTTCTTAATGATTAATATTAAGATTAACCTTGACATGCTTGGGTAACTGTTGTTGTGTACAAGAATCCATTACTGTTGTGTACTTTTACTGGGAAATAATCTCCCTCTCTCCTACACACTCTAACCTGAGCTTCACTATCCTCATAAAAATCTTCACTGCTTTCAGTAACCTACCTCCTATTCCATACATTTGCAACATCTGCCACATTGCATCCATATCCACCCTATCATACGCCTTTGTGAAAATTGCATTTAAGCTGAAATGTAACATTAATACATAACAGTAAATTAACAAAGATAATTATTATTTATCAGTTAGACAAGTAGGAATTTGGGACACCTAGGTCGCAAAAAATGTTCCCCTTCGATACCTACCACTGTCATATCCACAAGTTGCTCTGGACCTATTAATTATAAATGAAATATACATCACCAGGAATGCTGGTTAAATATATAAATTTGTGACTGTAAATAAATGAAAAAATGATTATATATAAATACACATATAATATAACAGAAGGAGAATATATCTTAAATTTGACTGGAAATCAGGGTGTTATCATACTCAGAAAACCTCTGTCCTATACAGAAATAACATCTGGCCCAGAGTTTATAACATAACAGACTTATCTGAGGTTTCCCTGGAGCTGTCTTTTCAGTCGTCTGATATCTCAAGTTTATTCAGGAATGCACATCCAACAATTTCGCCTCCTATTTGAGAGGTTGTCAACCACAATTTTAAAACCTCTAAGCACGTAAAATTCTTCCCATTATACACAACCGTTTAGTGTCCCAATTCAAACAAAATGGCGAGTGCTGTCTGCGCAGGCACAGGTCCAGTTTCCCATTTTCCATAATATAAATATTATTAAATACAGTATGGCCATCTATTTACACATAACTACTGTATTTCTGGAAAATATATACAGTATTTTCCACACTGCGGCCAGGCGGAGTTCGTTGCTAAACGACTCAAACTGCTCATTTGGCAATGGTGGAGGACCTGGGTACATATAGTATCTGGCATCCACACGGCGACATATTACACAAGATATTGGAGACACTTTAGCCTTAGACATAACAAGAGAAATAACACTATTACATTGAAGGTAAGCAACTGCTCCATATGCCAATTTTGAAGCATCACAAAAAATGTGGAGTACATTTTTTCCATTTGGATTGGTCACCTCGCATGGGAACTCCAACATTGGAATTTTTTCATAGTCACCAATTAATTCATCCCACCTGTTAATGAATTCCTCAGTAGAATTTCATCCCAAGCACATTTAAGTTTCCATGCTTCCTGTATTAATAATTTCCCTCTTATAGTAAAGGGGTGACACTAAACCTAGTGGATCAAAACATTTGAAACTTCAGCAAGCAAAACTCTCTTAGTTTAATTATTGGCATAACCGTAATTATTAGGTTTTAACATTAACAAATCTCTCTCAGTATCCCAAGGTTAATCCTAATACATTACTGCATGTTAGGCACTTCATCTCCAGGGGAATCTTTACTTATTTTGTCCTTTAATTTTGGATGAAATTACTATTCTTCCTCAGAGGCATATTTGCACTTTGCATTATTTTTATAGCCTCTCCCATAAGTCATTAACAGATCCCTTCATTTGACGTCACACCCAGAAAATTGTCCACATAAAATGTGTTTTGCTCATTACTTTACTCAATGGACTTTCCATACATTTAAGGTGTGCATTATCGTTCGCCTGAAGTAGAACTGACTGGATGTGGGGGAGCACCCAAATAATACGCTCCTAAAGTCGAAAGTTTCAGAGGGCTAAGTGGGTCAAAGGATCTCAGGCATAAGAAGCGGGTACAGTCCCGGGCAGCCTCTGTAAACCCACTCTTAGGAAAGCTTTTACTATGTCAGCCGTAAAGGCCATAATGCTTCCACTCTGAAATTTAATAGATATTTCCCTAATTTTTTCCGTCACTACGGACCTGTTCATCAAACAGTCATTTAAACTAGGAACAATTGTTGTTTACTTCTGCACTTATCAATTAAACACAATCATCAAAGGAGGTGTCTTAGAACCCTTCTTCACTCCCATGATAGGGCAAATAGTGACGCATAAATTTTCTTGCTCAGAAGGCACCTCTTCTATAAATTTATTATTTAACTGCTCAGCAATTATATCTTTATAGGCATTTAACAATTCTGGTGTCTTACTCAAGTTCGCAGGAGCTGAGCCTTTAATTGTCCATATGCCATTCTGTAATTAGTGGGCAATTCAGGATGGTTCAGTCTCCACGGAAGTCGTACACAGTATTGTCCAGGATTCAAATTTTACATCTCTCAGGTATTGCTCCTGAGTAAAAAGAATCGTCTGACTTTCTTCATTTTTAACATTTATTCAATGCGTCTAATCCCACAATTTATACACCTGGCTCAACAAACCATCCTCTATGAAGAATTATACTGGGGCACGATTTTCAGAGTAAAGACACACAGTTTACGGTATTTGTATTTTCCTCTAGTCATGATTATTATTCCGAGGAATCCTACCATACATTACATGGCCTCCTGCAGTCTTCAAAAGGGTGACAACACATTTTCTTTACCATAACCCTTTTACAAAGGAGCATAATATCCACTACCTATCAAAACATTACTGGGCCTACAGAATCATCAATTAACACCAAAGGTGCTAAATTTACATTATGTGAAAGTCTTTCTGGTACTTTACTAAGCCCTACTGTAGATATTTTCTCTGGAAGTCTATCTACAATTACTGCATTAACACGTTTTCTCCCTCATTGCCCAACCTGACAGTTACATAAACAGTGGTCATACAATGAGCCCTTTTATCCGAGAGAAAACCCGATAATTTTAAAGTTGTGGGAATCTCCCCATCTGTACTTTCATACCATCAGACATTACGTTTTTATGAAAAGTACGCGGGATCCCTGGCCAATAATAATGCAGTTTACATTTTTTTCATTTATGCTTTTATTCATCAATTTTTACCCTGTAACACAGGTAGGCTACTTCAGCAAAACATCATTATTAACATTAGCAGCAATTTTTTTTTTTTTTTTACATTAGCCACTGTTGTGCCGGGATTGTCAACCATTATCATTTATTTTCAACATTATCATATAGACCCTTACACATGACTCATATTGTCTTCCTTTGTGACATTGATAACAGAAGTATAATTGGCATAACAAACCTTACAAGTTCCTCCAATCTTTCAACTGGGTATCATTCCATGAATTGTATGCATTGCAGCATTGTATGCATTGTCAGAAGAGACAATCTCCTCTTTTCTTTGACTGGTTTCCTTTTCTTATTAACTGGGCTACTCTTAGGAGGGTACTTATTCTCTTACCTTGTGGAGTAATCATTATTTCGATTCCCTGCTAATTGATATGCTCTATGCAACTCTTTTTTAGAAATGAAATTGAATTATTAACATTGGATAATTTTTTCCTTTGTGAAACTTGACAGATACCTCAGAGTTATTAATGTGTTGCATCTTTAAAATGAGTTAGTTGGCTTGTCATGCAACTCTGCACAATTAATTTCTTGTAGACCTAGTCTTATTTCCTCCAGTCCAAAATAACCTTTGTGATATTTTTTGAGAGTCATTCAAGTGTTTTACAGCTTAATTTATTCTGTACTCATGGCACTCAATTAACCAGTCTGATTCCTCAGATTATATTTTATTACTTAAGTTTTGAGAGTGCTCTCCAGTTTAATCTCTAAACTGCTGTAAACCATTTGTAAGTGTATCTGGAGATTTTAAATTTAACAATATAATTCCACTAGATTCCAACATACTTTGTTCTATATTACCATAAGTGACTTTCAACAAGTCAACTTCTTCTTTATAAGAATCATCTACATTGGGAAAGGCATGTATGAGTATGTGAGCATCTCCTCCTTAACCTGTTCCTTTGAGTACAATAATTTATTACACCAGGCTAGGTCACACCTGTCATGCACAGCCTGCTTTAAAAATTGACCAAAAGTCCATCCAATTTTCACTCAGGATTAAATACAGGTAAACATAGTTCTGGGATTTTTGGCAAAGACATATTTATTGTGGAGCAGACTGATTACTGCCCGGTTTACACATTTAATTTACTCAAGGCCTGACTTTACAAGATAGAATCTTTTCCTCTAATCATATACTGATTAATCATGAGAATATACTTCAGTCTCCTTCTACACAGTTTACTAAACAAATCCTCCTTCATATTTTGTTTGTCATATAATTTGTATGAATCAAGTCCAATAGACTCATTTTTAGCAAGCCGCTAACCAACTGAGAGTCCGAAGATCAAAATGAATTTTTTATGAGAGAGCCACAAAATTTGGTTAACACAAGCCTATCCGATGTCATCCTGACGCCAAATGACTTCGAAGAGGC